AACCTACACAGGAAAGGGAGCAGAAAGTGCCGGAAATATCTCTCCAAAAGGACGATGTGACTGATGATGGTGAACAAGAAGACCAAAAAGACAAAAACACGGGGATGGAAGACCTGCGTCAAACAAGTCAGAGAGATATAAGATCCATAAACCCACTGAGTTTCATCAAGGAGGACTTGAGCCAGTTTAAGGAAGAAGTGTTGAAGGTGTTCAAGGACAAGGACACAAACCCATTAAGTCAGGCAGAAAATAAACCTGCCATTAGTACGCTCAACCTCCTGAAAGAGGACTTGAGCCAGTTTAAAGAAGATGTGACCAGTTTCTTCAGTTTGGAGAAAGAGACCAAGTCCACAGATACTAAAACAAGTCAGTCAGCAGAGAAGACCATCAACCGTCTGAGCTTTCTTCATTTTAAAGACGACCTTTCTAGCGTCTTCAGAATGGGTCCTTCAAAGGAGAGGGACAACAAGGCCAAGGAAGATTCATCCAACACCTTTAAAATAACAGCAGAAAGCCTTTTCAGAAGAGACCAAAAGACTTTGGTCATAAAAGTAGAGAACTCTGAGGAAGTTAAAGGGGTGTTCTCAGAGAAGGAGGAGAAACAAATGGATGCTGGCTTTAGGGGAAACCTCTCAGAGTCCATCGAAGAGACAGTCAGAGGAGAGAAGATCTCAGAAAACATGAAGGACAGGATGCACAAAGTGGAGGACAGGGAAGGGGATATAACTTCCTCTGATGACAAAAGTATTTCTGAAACCCTTCAAACTGAGGAGACGGTTCCTACACCACAGGCAGATAGGCTGGATCTATTCACTGTTAAACCAAACATTCATTTAGAAACCATTACAGACTATCCATAGTCTTTATATCACAGCATTATGGACAATAATAGGCCTTCTCTGTAACTATGGGTTCATTAGCTCTAATTAAATAAGTAATTCAAATTAAGGGAAGACAAATAATAATGAGGGCTGGATGCATTAAGAGGTCAAATATCAGGACGCTCCTGTCAAGCTGTTTGACCATGTTTTGTAACTCAATACAATTTGTAATCTATAATTTCTTACATCTGTCTCAAAAACCCAACAGTACATATACCTTAGGTTTACTGTCAGAATTAAATAACTGGATATATTACAGATCTGCCGACTGAGCTCCATTTTCATTTGATGTGTCTGTTTCAGAAAGTTACAAAAATGACAACTCAACTATAGTGTCATCAGAAGACGAGAGGATAAAGGTGAACGAAGTAAAAGAGGAAGAAGAACAACAACAACAAGGAGGAGGAGGACAAGAAGAACAACAACAACAACAACAAGGAGGAGGAGGAGGAGGACAAGAAGAAGAACATAAGCCATCAGAGAATCTTTCCTGTGAGCCTCTGTCTTCTGAGACCAGTATCCTTAATCTGAGAGACCCCAACAAAGACAACCGGAGGTGAGTGGACCTGCAGGAACTCTGCTGACAGTAAAAGTGTTCCGTCACGTCTGAATGATGTTGTTGTTTGTGCTCCTGCAGCGGTCAGCCGGGAGGAGACTTGTGGTCACTGAAAAACTGTAAGCTTTCTACCTTTCTGCTTCTGAGTTCACTTCATTTGGTGTTTCTGTCTGAGAAACAATATGTGTATTTAGAACATTTAACATTTTAATTTCACAAATGAATTGCTTTCTTTTTGTTATCTTCTTTATGTATCTTGTTATTTTTTGTATCTTTCGTCTTTTAGATATAACTGGTTGTCCAGCTCAAAGCAAATGGTGGTTACTGTTGTTGCAGCACTTCAGCGTGAACGCTTAAGCAGAGCCCACATTTGTGTTCAGGGAGTAAACTCCAGAAAATAGGATAACTTGTTACATTATATTATGTTCCTTTAATAAATATTATAAAAGATGTCCCCAGCAGACCAGCTTTAATAAGAGAATAACTACAACATAATTTGACATTTTTAGATAATGAAATGTTTTGTTGACCTGAAGAAAATCAGCCTGAATCATCATTAGGAGCCGCAGCTGCTTTTCTTTCTATGAAATACTTAGAATACAGGGATTGTACATCCCTCTATGTTTTGCAGCCACTGTTTGGAGTTTCTGTTGGAGAACGTAATAATTGCTGAAATGAATAATCTTGTCCCTTGTCTTTTCATTCAGTTGCCTGTTATTTGACCTTTGACCCCAACACTGCCAACTCAGAGCTCCGTCTTACCGAAGGCAACAGGAAGGTGACCCGGGTGTGGTCGGACCACCGGCCCACGGAGCACCCGGACCGGTTTGAGCGCTGCCCCCAGATCCTGTGCAGGGAGGGGCTTCTGGACTCGGTGTACTGGGAGGTGGTGTGGAGCGGCGGAGCAGACATTGGCGTCTCCTACAACAGCATCTCCAGAGACGGAGACACCCGCAGCAGTCTGCTGGGACACAGCGAGCACTCCTGGAGTCTGGAGTGTTCAGAGGGAAGCTACACGCCGTGCCACCAGAACGACAGGTTCAGTTCCTCCTCGCCACAACCCTTCACCCACAGAGTCGGGGTTTACCTAAACTGGTCTGTCGGCTCACTGTCATTCTACTGCATCTCTCAGGACACCATGGTCCACCTCCATACCTTCACTTCCACCTTCACTGAGCCTCTGTACCCAGCTTTCTGGGTGTGGGCCTACGGGGGGTCAGTGTCACTGTGTCAGGTGGAGTTAGACTGGGAGCGACTGCTGCAGTGAACAAGGGGGATCACAATGGATCCATCCTTAAGCACCAGCATCAAGCTGATTGGTTGATTATGCTCCTTACACACACAAAAGCTGTTAGTATTTATGCATCATCAACACCTAGGCCCGTTTATCCGCATTAAGAGTGTGAAGACATATGTTCCAGCTTTAAAGAGCAACTTGCAGGTTTTTTCTTTTACTACATTTATGTAGTATTATTAACCTTGCCTGAAAATTACAATTAAAAATGTTAATGCAGGATTTGATATGTTTTACAAGACATAAGGGCAGGAATTCAGAGGGAAAGGAGCCGTTTTGAGCTCTGCTACTAAAAACTGCTTTTTTTTAACGTCAAACGCGTCATACTACGTCACATGGGGGAGTTAACTTTCTCGGACTCGTTCTCTGCCCAATCCGCGGTAGTAGTTTGTAGTTGGTTTGAGCGGTTGTGATTTAGTGAGCTGGTATTTTTTCGGTAATTTTACATTGCATTTCACCATTTGTAATCATGGTGAGCTTGTGTTTGTGCAGGTTGCACAAACTCAAGCCTGTCAGGGCATCGAGTCCACAGTTTCCCTCACGGGAAAAGGACCGAAGCTAGCGTTCGTTCCTGGGTGCGTTGTGCATCCACCTCCCTGCAGCACATCCGTCTCCACAGCTTTATCAAGAAACCGTATTACATCCCCCTTCGCTGCTCTCTCTCTCCCCCCTTCGCTGCGCTCTCTCTCCCCTCCGGTACCCGGCACCCGTAGTGTGGAGTTAGGTAACGCTGTGGTGTCTGTACTGCTCCAGCCGTCTCCTTTGTGTTTGTTTGTTTCACCCTGTCTGTGTTGTTTGTGTGGGCGTGGTGGCTGTCACTCCTGGCTCCCGGCTCAACCTCCACTCACCTGCTGCAATCAGCTGTGCACCCTCCCCGACTACACACCTGCTTTCCATCAAGCCATTTACAACGGCATATCAACGGAGGCTCCACAACCTTTCTCCGCCAGATCGTCAAGTATCAGCCGTATCTCTCGCGTCTCCTCCGGTTCGACGCACCGTAGTGTGGTAGTTGCTTAAGGTAACGCGAGATACGGCTGATACTGCTTCATTAGTTTCTGTTATGGATCAGTAATCAACAGTCTGCCAGTAACGTTACTATATTCATCAATGCCTACTTTAGTTATAGCTGAATATATGATAGCTACTTTACAATGTTGTGATGTGACTGACGTTAGCTACATGCTAACGCCGGTCACTACCAAGACAGCTGCCTCTGTTCTCCACTGGTTCTCCACACACCAAAGCTCCATTTCTCTCATGGCCGTTATTTTTCTAATCCTTGGCTGCTACTGGCTCGTTTGGACGGCTAGCAAGGCTCATAATTATAGTCATATGCTTCGAATATATTTTCAACCTTCTGTGTCTCAAAACTATCATTGGTGATCCATGTTTTTCATACGTTAGAGCCGGGCCGCTCTCCCCCTTGTGTTCCCCATGTTACGTCACACGCGGGATGTCCACGTGCGGAGGCTTTTTATGCGAAGTGGGAAAATGTCTATTAAGATAAACTTTAAAAACGACGCCAGATGTCACTGTAGTGTATATTTCTGTATACTTTTTTCTGAAAATCTAGTGTTATTCATCATTTTCCTACACATTTATTCTCTGGTGTCTCTAACCTGCAAGGTGCTCTTTAAGGTCCTGGACACATCAATCAGACATGTATAAAAAAGTATTTGTGAGGAACGACCGTCATCAAACTGAGACTATTGACAGTTTTTCTCAATCGCTAACACCACTATTTAGAATCAAAATTCCTTTCATCGAAACCACACAGCACAGCCATCGAAAAGCAGAAAACCATTTCTCTACAACAGTATACCATTTCTCATTGATATCACACAAAATGCCAGATGCTAAGCAGGTGTTGTTTGCAAAACAGATCACACAATTCCCTAACTGAGTTACAATTTCTCTACACAAAGATCAAAATCTGTTGTGTAACCTCCATGTCCTACCAAAACAACAAATAATCTTCTCCACAGTGGAGTACACTTCCTCATAAACTTAGACCATAGCTACACTAATTGACACTTGATGTGCAACAATATTACACATGTTACAGTCCCATCACCCCATTGAAAAAAGGTAAACTCCATGGAATGTACTGTATACCCTTACAGTAATGATGTTACATTGGAAACATTTACATGATAGAATTTGCATGACTGTACTTAAAATATTTTTTTAAGATGGTGCCGGGTAAAGCTATAATAGTGGTTGATATGACTTGCCATAGGTCTTTGAGATGTTCATATGGTGAGGATTAGCTATAGCTGATACAACATTTTTACAGTCGTAAATTGTGGTCTTTCCTTTTTGCACATTGAGAAATGTTTTTTTTTGTAATTGGGGTGAATTGGAGTCACTTCACTTCCATGTAAATGAATTGCTCACAGCTTGGACATCATAGATTCATTTCCTTATAGTAATTGTAATTAGTGAGAATCCTATAAAAGACCTCCCCTCATTCAGTAAGATGTTTGTGTAAACAAAATGGCTGATCGAGTAGCGTAGACGGATCTGAGAGGAAGAAGGACCCTGTTGTTCAGCGAGGAAGAGGGAGGGGCTGATGTTCAGAAGAGGAAGAGCGGAGAGCTGTGTTCAGAGCAGGAAGAGGGAGGACTGATGTTCAGAGAGGAAGAGGGAACCTGCTGTTCAGAAGGAAGGGAGGGCTGTAGTATGCGTGGGGTGAAGAGTTGAAAGGGGACATGCGACAGTAGTTTCCGGACCCGAACACCGTGGACTATTGTGGACCAACGTCATAAACCATGGCATGTCCCCTCAGTGAGCGCTGGCAAGGGTTCAGCACTACTCCCCGAATCAGACCAGTGGCATCCATTAATTGAGGATCTTCAGGCACGAAAATAGAGTAAGCTACTGTAACCCTTTCAGTTTACAGCCTTCTGCATTTCTATTTTGATGATAGGTTTCGTTCACTGTTTTTAATTAAGTAATATCATATCTCAATATTTATTGATAGAACTGAAGAGACCCGCCTGGTGGAGACCGAAGGCCTTTACTCGAACAAGGAGTTGCCATTGTTGATATGGATTTGTGGCCCAACAATGATGCGCTTAAAGGGAGAGTTCGAGGCCAGAATAATTGCAGACCAGGATGTCCTTCAGTAACATTCGTTAATAAGTGTTGCAACATCTGACCGGGGTGTTAAAGGAAACACCTCAGAAATGAAACAGATCTATAAGGTTCACCTTTTGAACGCAACCTCTGCCGTGTGAAGGAGTTAAGCCCGGGTATCGTACCGGTAAGGCCCTCCAATCACACTGATGGCGCTTGCCTATATTTCTTAGTATCGTTCGCTGCTTACCAGGAATGTAAAACGGTCTCTGTTTGTTTTCATATTTCTTTAGCGATGACGGAAGCTGGAAGGCAATGCATTAACACATGTTTTTGTATATGTGGATGCAAAGCGGCTTAACTCCTCCAAAGTGAGGAGACGATGGGATGGACCTTATGGGGCACAGAGCGACAGTCTTTTGTTCCAGGCCAAAGGGGAGGAGAACTAACATTGTGTGCGCTATTCGAAAAGGCGTACCTTGCTCACATCCCTTTATGGGAGCATATAACACCAACGTGTCCTTGCTT